GGCCAGGGTCCTCACTTTGTAAGCATCTGAGTTTGTGAAAGAAGAGGGCACGGAAATTGTGTGGGCAGAAAGCAGGCAAACAGAATAGGGGAGGAAAAGAGGCTTGCTTTCTCTCCTTTTTGTCTTGTTGCTTTTGCTGTCTTCTGCTGCCTTGAACTGTTGCCCTGTACCATGCCACCTTGCCTTGGAGCCAGCCAAGTACAGACTGAAACCTCCACAAACTGTGAGCTAAGTAAACCTTTCCTTTCTTACTTCTGGGTGTCAGATATTTTTGTCTCAGTAATAAAAGAAAAGTAACCAAGACAGAACTCAAGCAGGCCAGCAATGTGGCACACGCTTATAAGGCCAGTGTTCAGGAGGCTGAGGCAAGAGGATCCTTGTGAATTTCAGATCACCCTGAACTACAAAGTGAGCTCAAAGCCAGTCTGAACTACAGAGTGAGACCCTGTTTCAAAAAAGAAGACAAGAAGAAAGAGAACTCTGTGTGTGTGTGTGTGTGTGTGTGTGTGTGTGTGTGTGTGTGTGTGTTGAAGGAAAAGCTGCTCACTTAATGGTGCTCAGGAAACAGAGTGGAAGAGGAGGTGTAGGAAGGCCTGGAGGGAGGCACCCCCTTCCTGAGGACCACATGTGACATGCCTCTTCTGATCATATCCCTTCTCCTAATAGCAAGTCAGCTCTCGTACCTCAATAATCCAGTTGCATTCCATGTACACAAGGCCTCAGGGTGAATTTTAGATCTAAACCATAACAACAAGGGGCAGAGAGTAGTCACACTCATAGAAAGTAGAATGGTGATTGCCAGGGCCAGGAGGTCCGGTTGTAGAATTGCTGCTTGGTAGGTACAGATTGTAGCTTTTCAAGATAAAGTGTTGTGGAGATAGATGATGGTGGTGGTTATACAATGATGTAAATGTATTTGATGCCATTGAAATGTACACTTGAGGGCTAGTGAGATAGCTCAGTAGACTAAGAACCTGCTTAGGCAAGTGCAGGGACCAGGGTTTGATCCCCGGTGCCACATGCCATGCCAACCCTGCCCCTGGGGCACACTGAGCTGGGCACTGAGTCTGGGCGTGGTGGTGCACACCTGTAATCTCAGGGCTGGGGAGGCTGAAAACAAGAGGATAACTATGAGTCCGAGCTGCATAGTGAGACCCTGTACCAAATACATAAAAAAAAGAAAGAAATGTACGCTTGAAATGACTAAGATGATAAGTTTCATGTTATATGCATTTTGCTATACTAATATATGCATAATAAAGAACTGGGCAATGTTTCTTCACATTTAATTCATGATAGCCCCCTACAGATTCTCTCTTTAGACATTTTTCCCACATCGCCCTCCTCCAAAGAACTGATGCCAGAGAAATGCACTATTTATGTACAGTGTGTAACTATGCTATATAAAGAAAATATTGTTTTATTTTTTCCTTCCAAGAACCACTTACAACCCCAGGAACTATCATTCTCCTATAGAATATATATATATTAGGCCAGCGATGGTGAACCTTTTAGAGATAATTGCTCAAACTGCAACCCCAAATCAATTTATTTATCTCAAAGTGACCACACTGCAATTAAACCTGAATATTGAGGTAAAACTCACACATTAACATTTTTTTTTTCTGAGATAGGATCTCACTATGTAGTTCAAGCTGGCCTTGAACTCACACTCATCCTCCTGCCTCAGCCTCCCTAGTACTGGTATCACAGTTGTGCGCTACCACACCTGGTCCTGAAAGAGAAACACAGTAACAGAGCTTTTAATGATACAAACAACTTTTTATTGAAAGGTGGAAGTTTGCCTTTGGTGTGCTTTTGAACAATTAATATGATCTTTGCTGTTGTGTGCATGCTGATAATTTGTCACACCTTGGCTGGTGTGACACCAGTGAGTAATATTGGTCAGAAGTCATACAAAGAAATGTAAAACAGTAACATCAAGGAATATTGAGAGAGAGAGAGAGAGAGAGAGAGAGAGAGAGAGAGAGAGAGAGAGAGAAGCCCTAAAGAGGCAGACACAAGAGAGAGTCCTTCCCAGGGATCAGGGGCAGCCTGTGCCAAAGATCTGTGCCTAGACAGAGCATGAACCCTTTAAGAAACCACAAGGAGACATCAATGGCAGGGACACTGCCAGCCAGGTAGAAGGTGATGCGAAGTGGAAGCAGCTCAGGGCTTCTCCATCCTGAGGCCTGCAGTCTGATCACTGTTTCTTGTCAGTTGTCCTATGCGTTACTGGACAGTTAGCAACATACCTGCCCCCACCCACTGCAGTACAGCACCTCCCAGAAGCACCTCCCCCTAAGCTGGGACAGCCAAACATCTCCATACATGGCCAAAAGCGCTCCGGAGGGCAAAGTCCCTATCAGCAAAGCACTGAGAGATGGACATGGCCCGATTATGTAGGCCTCACTAAGGAGTTTAGCTGTAATTTGTGAGTAGTGGGAAGCCATTCAGGGAAATTAAAGGGCAGAGGAGGATGACATAATCAGAACTGCCTGCTAAAAACTCCTCCACCAGCAGTGAGTAACACGGGGAAGAAGGAAAGCCCAGGCCAGAGGGGACATAGATAGACCAATTAACTCACTAGCTCATCTTGGAAACTCCTAGGCTGGTACTTGCGAAAGATAATCACAGCTTGGGCTGGTGGTGGTGGTGGTGAGGAACAAAAGTGGATGAATTTGGGAGATAAGTCAAACCAGCAGGACAGGGTGATAGATTGGACAAATGGGCTGAGGCAGAGAGACGTCAAGAACAATTCATACCAAAGCAAGTGGGTGGATGATGGTGCCATTTATTGAAGAGGCTGGAGATGGCATAGGTCTTTAGAGGCAGACTGCATCGTCTGAACATGTTAAATTTAAGGGGCCTTTGAAATGCCCAGGACACAGCTGCATATGTGGGTTTGGAGCTCTAGAAGGTCTGTAGTTTCGAATATAAACTGGGGAACTGTGAAGGTGGTGACAATGTACGTCATTGCCTGGGGAAGGAATATAGGTGGAAAAGATGCAGCTCTAGGAATGCTTCCTGAGAGTGGCCATCATTAGTGACTTCATAGACAGAACTAGACCTCAAGGTGCAGAGAAAGACTGGCTAGAAAGCTGGTAAGATTCAGGAGAATGTGGAGTCCCAGGCACCGAGGGAAGAGAGTGAGGTGTGAGTTAAAAATCAGACAGTACTGACCTAGAGGATGTCTGTTGGAGACAGCAAGGGTCACTGTCAGTCTCTTAGGTTTTTTTGTTTTGTTTTGTTCTGTTTTTTTATATTTACCTTCACTTTTATTTTTTTTATATTTTATTTTTTATTTTTTAATTTTTTT